TGGAACAAGTACTCTTTTTGACATGCAATAATGACTTTTTGCGCCGTTTGTCCCACTCAAACTGCGAAATGCCTATGTCACAGGAGCTGTCGTCATCATTATCACCAATTGGGCCGTAATCAGCATCTGATCCAAACTCTCCATCGTTAACAAAAGGGACTGGCGTGGTTTCCAGGGATGAAGAAAGCTCATAGATTTTCATTGAAGATTCCTTATTTTTAGCTCATTTTATATATCTAAAACAAACAAAAAAATACAAAATATGTATTTTGAACATATTCAGACTTATTACAATAAAGTGAAATGTTTTTATATGATATATATATCGTAGTAAGATAATAAAATACTTACGTTTAGCGTCAATATGAACATATGTGAACATAACATTGGCGCACGCACTAGCCCCGCAACGCGCACAAGTCGACTGATGTAATGAAACTTCTTTTGCGAAACGACGTATAGTGACGTTGTGCGCTAGCAAAGTGGGTACTTAGTATCAGCGAGGAACGTCATCTAAGAAGCCAAAAAAAATCGGTGCGATGTGGCACTACAATTTTGAGAATTCGATATGTTGTGGCACAGTAACCCAACTTTAAAACATTAGTATGGCCAGACACCGTACCATAACGTTGTGCTCAATAAATCGAGCTATTGCTGAACGTAATAATACGTTGTGCCACATCATATCTACAAATATGTGACGTACATATACGTTGTTCGCATGAACGTGTTAAGATTATTCAAAAACCTTATAAAAATATGAATATGTAGCAACTTCTTGTCCGAATCGCTGGTAATGCGGCATCAGCAGTGTGAGCTTACTGACTCTGCGCTTTGCAAAGTGCCATGCTAAAGCTATATTAGTAGTGTAGTTGTAGCACGAATGGGTGCTCTCAACCGGGGAAGGACCACGCTCTCACAGAATACCAGCGTAAAATAGAAAAACTACAGTTGCAAACCCGCCTGTCAAGCGTGGCAACTCATTTCATTAATAATATCGCGCGTGTACCATACTGGGTATACACACTGTGATTGTTTTTTATTTGTATTTTTGCTAGTTATACATTTATCTAAAATATTATTAAGTATATCATAAAAGTAATTTAAAATGTCCTCTACGTAACTCATTTCATATAATATCTTACTCCAACCATTGGAAGTTATAAAATAAAATAGCAACTTAAGGCTGCTGTATTTCGTTTCTGCTGTTATAGTGAGTGTAGAAATTTGGAGACCCTTTTTACTGGAAATGAGGCATTCCATCTAATTCGTCATGGATGATAACGTATCAGCATTTTGATTCGTAATTGAGGATAGTTGTAGATGTCTATGTGCCACCACCAACCACTTAACATCAGGTGGTCTGTATGCCCATTTGTCACCCTTGTCCTATAAAAATAACTTGTCTGCCCTGCGTAATGAGGATGATGATGAGAACGCAGTCCAGTTGGCCCATATTTGAAGGATCTATATTCAACAGTGGATTGACACTGAAACTCATAATAGTTCGGACTCGTCTAGTGAACAATTTGGACCCTCTGTGACAATTTCCCTTTTTAAGCACTTCATAAAGAAAAGAAACCACAATTAAAAAAAATTCAGGGGTTGGTCGCCATCAGCGACATATACGTACACTGTCAAAATTGTAAAAATAATTGTAGTAATTTTTTTAATTTAAATAAAACCAAACCACGCAAAAGCATAATAACATTCACTATAGATATTTAATTAATAAAATTCTCATCTAGGAGCTTCACCTGTATCGTAAAGGAATTTTATATACATAAATTGCACACGAACAAGTATCTAGAGATCATCATCATCATCATATTTACAGCCCTTCACAAGTCCACTGCTGAAAATAGGCCACCCCCAAGAAATGCCACAAAGCATGGTCCTGAGCCACCTGCATCCATCGACTTCCTGCATGTCTTACCAGGTCGTCACTCCATCTAGTGGGGTGACGCCCTACACTTCGTCCGCCGGTACGAGGCTGCCACTCGAGAACCTTTTTTCCCCATCGGTTGTCGGTTCTTCGAGCTATATGGCCGACCCATTGCCACTTCAACTTATTAATCCTTTGGGCTATGTCAGTAACTCTAGTTCTACTGAAGATATCCTCATTTCTAAGTTTAACTATAGATGTAGAACAATAATTTGTAGATCATCCAAATACTTGTTCTGTGTGGGATTCGACCCCTCAGCCTAATGCATAACCACAGTGCTACTGAACCGTCTAAAATATAAAAGTAGTCTGTAAAAATAAGCAGAGAATATAATATCAGGAGAGTATAATTTTAACCTTGTGTTTACCTTCCTCATAGGGCTGCAGTGAAAGACCACGTCTTAGACCTATATTTCATCACTTTAAACACGCCCTGTTTGTACATTTTTGTTTCAAGTTTTGAAGTATGCGTTACGAGAATGTAAGATGTATCGTAATTTCATGAACGCTGCCCAGCCAAGTTGAATCCGTCGATTGACCTCTCGATCGAAGTTGACCATGTACTTATTAAATGGGACATTTTTTTTTAGGTAAACATACTCCTCAACAACTTGGAGCGTAGTACTCCCAACAACTATCAATATACATAGACATTTAGAGACATCGACATTACACATGAACTTTGTTTTTTCCATATTAATTTAAAGAACTATCCGTTGGAAGATACTATTGAGGTCGTTGAGCATAATAGTGACATCCTTCAGCGATTGCGCTAAAATATGTATCGACGACGACTCAAATGTGAGTAATGTACTCGCTTTAAAAGGATAGGGTACAAGCATACCTTTGGGTCCTTTTCAGTCCAGTGGCTTGAAAACGTCTTCTAATGCAGTGGTGAAGAATTACGGGGATATAATCTTACACCTCTATGCGGTTGGATTAGATTCGAACTCTGGTATTCGGAGAGGCATATCCCTACTGCACAAACATTTCAGCACTTCGATATACTGACAGTCAACTTGTCACCGCTAGGGACTGTAGCACCGTCCAAATTTTGGCGGAATCAAAGGTTTTCTGATAGTCCACATACGCAAGACATAGTGGCAGATTGTACTTCTCAGTCTTCTGAACAATTTAGTGAAGGGTATGTAGTGATTTATGGTACTATAAAGCTTTCCAGAAACCTCTTTGTTTCACTCGTATTTATTTCTCAATTTTATCGATCGTTAAAGTGACACCAATATAGAATTTAAATCGATAACGTCATAAATAATATTTTTTATGTGTATGTATGTGTATACATATATGTATATAAAAGACTAACTATCCTACTGTAACCTCATACATAACACAAAATAGACAAAACTTTAAAAACTCCAAGTAAACAGATAAACGTACTTCTATATAGCTTATTCCTAGTGGATTAATTATGACAGGTCAAGGAGAATGTGTTACGAAAATAAATATTTAGTGAGACACTTACCAGTTATATTTTATTTTTAAAATATGATTATTATCAAGTTTAAAAATAAAACAATGTTCTAGTTTCACATTTTTCTTCACATTTTTACGAACCAATTTTAAATATCACGTTTCATTGAATATTTCATTTTCCGTCGGTACATTTTTGCGCAATGATTTTTTACAATTTAAAATGTTGCCTTAAACCACAGGAATCATTTGATAAAGTTCAAAAATGGCATTTGCATATTAATTTATTTAATTTCAGCGTGATAGAAGAAAAAGTGTTTTTCATGTGAAATTGGTACAGAAGCATGAAACTGTTTAGATGCTAGTGGTAAACATATTTGAAAAAAATTAATAAAGAAAACTTCAACCATAGAACTTTTTTATATTTCGCAAAACTTTCTGAGTGGCCTACGTGCGTCACAGATTAAAATGTATTAATGGTTAATAAAATTAAAATATGTTAATAATAGTAAGGTTTAGTTAAACATTTTATTAATAGTATTAAATACATAAGAAATGAAATTAGTAAACTTGGACACGGTAAGACCATGTGCTTGAAAAAACAAGTAATATAATTTTCCTTTTGACATAGGTATGTAATTTCCTTAAATGTGTGATATGAGCATAGTGAATATGAGTTTCCCCCAGGAATTAGTCATTTCCTTTCCATTATGTGAGAAGTGTTAGCTCGTTTTGAATTATCTGTAAAGCTTTGTTAACAATTATCTTTATAAATATATTATATTCCATAACAGCCTATAAAATTCCACTGCTGAACATAGACTTCCCCCATGGATCACTCATAGCGGGATCGGCAACTTGATTTTTTATTAGTTAGTAGTAGTTATCAGTAAAAATCTACTGCAAATATAATGTATATATATACTAGCTCGCCAGGCAAACGTTGATCTGCCCTTTCCAACGACCCTTCCTATAAAAATCCTTAAATACGCAATAAAAAAATTTGAGGGTCATTTAGCGGGATAAAAACTATCATATCTCTCAAGTTGGACCAAAATGCACACAGTGTGCAAATTTTCATTGAAATCAGTTCAGTGGTTTAGGAGTCCATCGCGGACAAACAACGTGACACGTAATTTTTATATATAATATATATACAATTATAACAAATAAAACAAATATAAAATAAAATAGTATAAGTACAATTTTTCCTCTTATTTCATTTTGCCTGTTTAATGGCTAATATAAAATGAATTCAGGAAGTGAATAGTCAATTTCATACGAATATCGACGACTAGATAAAAGTAGACAATTTTTTATTGCGTAATGTAACATTTTCCAATAAACAGGTATTCGCACATAGATTTTTCACGGCCATTTTCGTGCGCTGTGTAAATAAATACAGTGACATCTTTAGGCGTTTTTGTTCAACGGGCGTACAAATGTTTTAAATGCCCGATTACTTCATTGAATACCCTGGATGATGCAGATGATTCACAGATGATGAGTGCAAAGGGTTTTGGCAAAAGTGTAAACGCAGTGGGCGAGAGGGGCGGGCGGACCGCAGATTGAGGCCACTATTTAACCGCACGTTGGCCGCGCAACGACCTGTTGTGATCCCGTCATGGCGCGCTACGCCCGTGTCGCTACTTTGGCCGCGTGTCTCATATTTACCTGCGGTGAGTTCTAACATTTTTCTTACGTCTTCAGACACCATCAATTTCGTGACATCATAGATGGCGCGACGTCATAACTGCAAATTATAAGTGGTTACATCGAAGCCTAGTGTTTCACAAAACAGTGAATAGTGAAGTTGCATGAAGCACAATTGTCGCGAGATCAACCGTGTCTCCTCAAAAGTTTAATTAATGCAGCAGAACGCGATCTCCTTGCATTTGACTTAAGAATGTAATCAATGCGTTGCGAGCCTTTCAAGGACATTCTGCAATTATAGCTCACTAACAACTATCGTCTTATTATATACCGGTGTAGTGAAATCGATCTTCATGTTTATTGAGTTTGTGTTACAATGTATGATATATTTTGGAGATATATAAACACATTACCTATCAGAGTAAAGTAATATTAGTCCAGTAGTTCTCATTAATGGCCGAAAATCTGGTATTTATTTAAAAAAGTCAAGTTTTCGATTAAATATTCAACTCGTACATCGAGTATTTGAAAGTGAGAATAGCATCACTGTAACTTGATTTTAAAATCGTTAAGTTTTCCGAGTACAAAAATTTTGTACTTGTCATGACTGCTTACAGTGGCAGCAAAGAACTTTCACATTCGTAGTGTTGCACCTCCACCGAGCGCCGTCGATGACGTCACGCACCAATCACTGCCCCGGCAGCCGCTGCGCGACACTTCAAACGCAAGCTTGTTGCTAATTTTTATAAAAACAATTAATATTGACAATTAAATACTTTTGAGATATTAATATCTTACATATAGAGCCAACTGTTAGTGTTAGTGTTAGTATCATCAAGCTCCAGGACAAATTATTCAAGTCTGAATATAATTGTTTTAATGACATGACATTGACATTTATAAAAAAATATCAATAAACAAAATTTTATCAATAAAAAAATATCAATTTATATGATAACAAGGTTATCAGACCGAAGTTACACGAGGTAGTGATACCAATTAATCAACAACGGTCAGTAACATTCCTGAGGCAATATACCTCTATGTATGTCAATGTATCTCTATTACCAATTTTAACTTTTTTTATTAAACGCAGACTACATATAATTGGTTATTATAGTATTCATTTATATATAAAAAAATATCAGCAATTATTATATAGTATGTAATGTACAAATAAATGGTCTATAATAACCGCTGGCAATGAAGTGATCGCTTCCAAGCTTTCTTAAATGAATTTTGTAAATGAGTTTAATAAGAAATATAAACATCAGCTGTTATTATACTTGTACAAATAAATAGTTTTATAACTATTTATAACTTGTATTGAATAAAAAATATTATATTCTATTCTATTCCAATCGTCAAATATGAACATATTGTTTTTGAGTTTAAATGAATGGTTATAACGCCGTCTATTAGACACCGCTACAATTTTCTTTAAGAGTATTATTAATGCGAATAGTATACTCTACTAGTCAGTACCCGGCTGATAATTTACGAGCCCTGGTTCTGAATTTCAGCAGCATCCACAATTAAGAAAAACACTAATTGATGTGCGGTTCTTTATAGTATGGTATCTTTTGTAACTTTTCTTATAAGTTTTATTTAGGTTATAATGAGTAACTCACTACACTTGCACATGTAAATGGCACTATTATATCTCCTTAAAATAAACAGCCTCCCAAAGTATATGTTTGGAAGTTGTCGCCGTTGCTGTAATGAGCTAGAAGAAAATTAACATCGTAATTATCATCGTCAACATTGCACTAATAAATAAAAAAATAACTTCAATTGTTGTGAAATATTTTAGAAAATAATACAGATTTTAACATTATTTATAGGATTTTATTATTTAACAAAAATTTAAGACCAAATAATATCAATAATATTCTTGATGAGCTGATAATCAAAAATTCTTTTGTAAGTTGTGTAAAAAGACATTTCAGCTAATATTAGGAGAGACTTCCAAAGATTTTTGAACAGTTTCTTTTATAAAAAAAATAATATTTACTCTTAAAAATACGCTACATTCCATCATCTTCTAATATATAAAAAAATGTTTGCTTGATCGTATTTTATGCGCTGCCATATCATTCATCAGATTGCGGTAAAACTTTGTCAAGTCATTGCTTACACTTGCGTGAAGGTTATAGGCATAGTAGAATTAATTTACAGTAGGTGGCGTGCGTATCGTACCGATAAATTTATTTGAAAGTTAGTGTATTATTCAACTTCAATGCATTCATTTCAAAACATTTTTTATCATTCCTAACTAAACAATATAACTCTTCCAAATTTAAAACGGTGTTTCCACAATATTTTCTTCTTTGGCTGCAACGCGCAGGGTACCAGCTAGTATTTTACAACATTTTTTTTTTAATTTTGAATAACAATATCACACTTGTACACTTATTATGAAAGCATAATATATTTTAAGTGAATTCGTAACTAACATTTTATGAAATATGCCAACTATTTCGCGACATGACAATCACATTTGACCTTGGTACGCCCTGCTAGTTTACGGAAGAGACCACCTATTGATACTACCAATCCATCAAAAACACTGCACCCAAATAACATTGGCTGGTGATGTGAGTATTTACGAGTGCGAGGATGTCTCATTTGTGCACAGTAACCCGCTTGCCCAAGGTGGTGATATGCCAGCTGGTGCACTTTTAAAATGATCTACATATATGCCTAAAGAAGTCAATCGATGCTATGTATAATCCTTTGAGAAAACAAACTACATTTAGAAAGACAAATCGGGAAATTAACTTTCTGATTGGTGAAATATATATACTAGCTCACCAGACAGACGTTGTTCTGCCCTTTCCAACGACCCTTCCTATAAAAATACTTAAATTCGCAATAAAAAATTTTGAGGATCATTTATCGGGATAAAAATTTTCCTATCTCACAAGTTGGACCAAAATGCACACAGTGTGTAAAATTTCATTGAAATCAGTTCAGTAGTTTAGGAGTCCATCGCGGACAAACAACGTGACACGTAATTTATATATATATGTGTGTGTGCGTGTGTGTATATATATATATATATATAGTCTATTACAAAGCGTTGGTCTATAATTGGCTCTTGCTTTTATTGACTTTCCTAATATTACTGTTAAAATAACAGCGTATGAACGATTATCGTTTCCACTCTGTTAATTAAATACTTATTGCGATACCATCTGAAAGTGTTATACAGTATCGTTATAATTGTATTTTAATTAGCTAACACGAAAAAACCCTTGCTGATGAGTTTTTGTTTCAATTTTATAAAGTAATAAAAAGTATACTACGGCTATATATTATGTACCTATTTGACAGTAGACCAAGTTTCTTTTATGTAAACACCTTTTTTATTATTCCCTTTCAGTATTTTTAAATAACTGTTTTACTTCTTTTTAGCGTGCATTTCTTATTTTAATATATTTATATTTTTATGCCATACTTTAAACCTTCATTAATTTTTTTTTTGGAAAAGAAGGACAGGTGACAATACGAGTACAAGGAAAGTCAAGAGCCGGCGCTACATATTTGTAAAACTGTGATTTGGAATGCAATTGGCGTGGTCGGTCGACGCCCGCGCCTTCTGGCATAACTGTCTATTTGTTTGCTATTCACAGTGATATTCGATTTAATATATGATATTTTTACTATTCTTGCTAAACACAGTTTAAATCATAGCTTATTTATTACCTTTTACATTTAAGAATTGTGATACATAAGTTTGTTTAGGAATTTAAAACTACTTAAAACTTGCCTATTATTGAAATTTTTGTAGCTTAAATTCTCGGAAAAAATATACAAATGTATTTATATAAGAGTGATTTTATCCAATTTTAAAATTATACTCTTACACTTCTAGTTTATTAAATATTTACTATATGCTTTACAATTCTCCCATACAAAAGACATCAACGGGTGAAAACAAACTTATTACCTACAAACTGATTTTACTACTTGGGAATGAGTAGGCGTAACGTGAGATAAGTATCACAGCTGCCCAAACACGTGGTAGATCCGGTTCAAAGAGGACAAGTTCTTATTTATCGTTCCGGTGGTGACTACTATTTTTTTTATTACGATATGTATTATTCATGTTGCGATACCTTAAATCAATTATGTATGCTCAAATATCACAGAGCACAAATTCCTTAATTTTAACTTGGTAACAAAACTGCTTGATATTTGACATTTGGATAAAATATTATTTACATACTCGTAGTAAAGCCATAACATATATGTTATATTTTAAGATATTTCTTTTTAGTGTAAAAATTTTAAATTAACAAAGTTAACTTTTCAAGGATAATATAAAGGCATTGCAAGGAGTAGTCACTTTGCTCATAGCAATTCAATACTTAAGTATTACTTGTGCATGCCGGCAAGGTTGTCTGAGTCGCTGCACATTTTTATGTTATGATGTTATACTCATTCTAAATCTAGTTTTGTCTTTTATATGGCTCACCGTTTAACTAAATTTCAATCATATCCTCAGTTATCATCTACTCAAAAGTGCTAAATATAAAATGTAATAAAATAAAATGAATAGTAACAATGAAACATAAATTCAATCAAATTATTTGCAGTGAAATGTTTCGCTCATAACTTGCAAAATCGAACAATTAATAAATACTATAATTAATAATGTTTAGTGTCATGCAACTTGTCGCATACACATTGTGGTGTTGCATCGCGACCGCGAATCAGCTGCGGCGGCGGCTGCGGCTACTGCTTCTTGCAAATGGGCCGTTAGATAATATTGCGAGAGCTCGATTTCATCATGTTACGTGCTTCATGCTCACGCACACAATCCGTATTCATTTCTTATTACTATCGGTCGCAAATTATTCAAACGAACCGACCTATCAATTACCAAAAATAACAATCGCACAACATACGAGTATGTAACCTTTAAAAATATGTTTTGGTTTTATTTCTACTTGACAATAATTAAATTATTCATGAAGCTTCTTAGAAGACTAATTACGCAAATAAATATTTAATAGAGAAAACTAATAATTTTGAACAAGTTAAATTATAATCTTAAGAGGCAATAGGTTAACATTTCCTGATTCATTACTGGCGGTCAAGGAAAACAACTATTCCGTGACCTTTATAGATTATAATAATTTCAACAGCATAAAGCATCAAATACCATATATATTGTAACAATTTGGTATAAACTAAAGAACTTAGAAAGAGTTGTCCTTGTTGCTTGCTTAATCGCTGACATTTCGACGCTAGTCAAATGTCACGTGCGCTCACCTCATCTTTGACATTTTCACTTCCAAATGACATTTTAGTTCTAACGACAAAAAAAAATTAATACACTACTGCATATATTTATTTTAATGTTTAATTTAATATTAACATTGCACAACATTTTAAAGGTGTTACGTAGCAGGAAATATGTAAAAGGAACAGGTAGAGAAGGTCACTTCCGGGGCTGATTCCCTTTCAACGATATTTATGTATATTACATTTACTCGTTATGTGAATGTAATGTTGTTGTTTGTTTGTGTAGCGGTTGCCAATGGACATCGTTGGAGGCGGCAGGCTGATGACGCGCCCAAGAAAGAGGACAACCTAGAGCTTGAGCTATGCAAGAACAAGGACGCTGGCGAGTGGTTCCGGCTAATAGCCGGCGACGGCGACAACTGTCGCGACGTCATCCAGTGCACCGCCTCGGTCAGTGCAATAAGCGATTACTACTTTTACACTCAGACCCTTTCTTGCTAAAAAAAAACCATTTACATCAATGCCGTGTGAGGACCTTGATTCTTAAATACTTCATTTAAAGAAATATTTTAAATAAGTTAAAATGAAAAAAGCTAAGTTTTAAAATTTTATAATCTTGTACATTATTTCGTACAGAATTTAAATGCAATATATTTAGTTTTAATACGCTATAAATATGTATGTGGTGTCGCGAAGCCGTCCTCGTTTATATTCAGATTTATCCGTTCTAACCGACATTCTCTACACATAGCTATTTATTTTTGTACTACCAATATATTGTTGATTTGTAATTAAATATGATTCAGTATTTAAAATAGGAGATTTCCAAAAATATTATTTAAATTTATTAAACTATAAACGAATATGATGTACATGTGGTTACAAAAATTTCACATCAAAAATTTTCCCAACATCACTTCTTTGTTTGCCAACTCATGCATTACTTGAAAATTTTACACACATTCACCACTCTGGGTAAGCGGGTGTGTTAGTGTAGAGTTAATACTCTCGCTGATATTGTTATTACCATTATCATTCTGTGGGGATTGGTTTGGATATTTTCAAATGAACATTTAGCACCAGTGAAAATAGTTATTGCAATTTTAAGTGCTGATTTACCACGTGCTGGGTGGTGAAATAAAACATCATTAGGAAATATAAAACCTGCTAACACAGATTATGAAACCGCGTCGGAATCTTCATTGCTTAAAACACCTTTTAATAATGAAAGGAGTCATGTAAGCAGCAGTGAAACATACGTAGGCTGTTACTAAATTTCACTGCCAGTAGGTGTGGTTGGCGTTTGGAATAGAAGGTTTTACATCCTCCTTCAACGTATTCAAAATGTTTAAATTTTAATGAAATTACACACAAACTTATCTTAAGCTTATATTTATTTCAATAGGGTATCCAAGCTATCCGTTGTCCAGCGGGTTTATTCTTCGATATCGAAAAACAAACCTGTGATTGGAAGGATGCAGTTAAAAATTGCAAGGTGAAGAATAAAGAACGCAAAGTTAAACCACTTTTGTATACTGAGGAACCGCTGTGTCAAGACGGATTTTTGGCTTGCGGTGATTCCAACTGCATTGAACGAGGATTGTTCTGCAATGGTGAAAAAGATTGCGCCGATGGATCAGACGAAAACTCTTGTGGTATTTTTTTTAATATTATCTTTCTTTTATATTTAAATATCCAGCTTAATATACTAAATTTAATGTTTCAAATAGATAAATAGTACGTAAACTTAATCATTAGAAATGTAATACGAATTTGGTAGCCCTATATTTTTAGCCTAGATATTTAAAAAAATTAAGTATGTTTTAAAAAAATATTTTTCAGTATTTTGTATCATTTCCTTGTACTAATCTAAAATTAAAACATACTATTGAACTTGAACAGTGTAAACCACAAATAAAAAACTGGCTCACAAGGTATGACGAACAGCTTGCCTGAAATGGCAATCACTTGACCTAAAAACCACATCTCAATGCTATTTCGAAATACGCCTTACACAAATGGGGTGCATGTTTTATTTACAATTCATTGAATATCTTGACATTTAGATTTTATACATTTGGAGGCTTCATAATTATGCAATATTAAGATTATAATATATGCTTACACGTGCATGTATGCGTGGGTGTCGTAAGAGTCGACAGATGGAAACAAATCAGGAGATGGGCAGCAGCGTCTTCCTAGTAACGACAAAAAATAAAAAAACTGCGTTTGCCAACCCGCTTGCTAAACGTGGCACCTATGGAAAAGATCCTCTCTATGAGGCAATCTATGGGTGATGCCTATGTTCAGCAGTAGACTTTAATAGGCTGAAACAATAGCGGTACCATATGTACAGAAAATATACATTCAAAAAGTATTTGTTTTATTTTCTCCGTCAAGCCATGAAGCCAACTTTACTTTTCGTTACTCATTCGACGTGAAACTAAGAGCACTTCACTTCGAATAGTAATTGAGGACATGAACAGAATACTAATACGAACATATTTTTAAATATATTGTTTGACGAACTACCCATTAAATAGGTAAATTTTAAATAATAGAAGTTACAGAAACTTGTAAGCAAATAAACTTAGCCACATATTTTAATTCTAGTGTATGCTTATGATTTGTTTCAATATTTTAAATATTTATGTCCACTTCTGAACATAAGCATAATAAAGAACCGCTAAAGGGGTTGTAGCATAGTTAAATTTCGACGAAATCAAAAGCTTCCCCACAGCCCATATACGTAAGACAAAGTAACATGTTGTACTCTTTGATCTTTTGTAAAATTTGCCGAAGGGTGGCATTTTAGCCCTACGGAAACCGTCTGGTCTGGGAGGCTGGAAGAGTTCATGACTGCGTTTGGCTCAGAAAAAAAATTGGTGCTGTGGTTCAAGAAAGAGCGAATTCGCCTTTCTTGAAGCACATGACCATCGCAATTCTGCGTTACGATCCCAGGGTAGTGCCAGAATGGAGATAAGAATTGAATAGCTTCCGAATACACTTAAGTACCGGTTTTTCACTCCCTTTCAGAAGTTTGGCTGTGATTCCATCCTTACGGAAAGGCCCCGGCTTTCCGTTTTTCAGGATTTGGTTCCATCCTCGTTTAGACAGACACACGGGATGTCGCCAGAATAGTTTCTGATGAGACTTGCTCTTGGATCATTAATTACACTTGTGTGTAGTTCCAACTACGATATGTACAGTTGTTCGTAGATCCTCTCAATCTCACTCAAAATATAATGTCCCCCAAAATGAAGCTTTTACAGTATATTTTTCAACTTATACAGGTGGCTATTTCTAGGAGACAAAAATAATACATCTTCAAAAAGTGAAATCTATATAGAGGTTGCCACTGCTAACTAAATTTGACTAGCGAAAGTACCCATTCAAGTTCGAATATTTGCCTCGGGTCATATTCTCATGCATAGAAACACCAGTAATATTATCACTTCGCTGTCATGAAGGCGAGCTCAGCAATTTATAAGTCAAATAGTAGAGACCCAAACTAGATTCTTAATATCCAAACCAAACCAGATTGAGTAATCCTTGCCGCTTTTGCAATAGTTATAATTTCTAGGGCACTAGTTCAACTCACGCAAACATCAAGTCATAACTTCACATGAACTGGATTTCTGTGTCACATACGTATATATAAAAAAAAAATTAACGAAACAAGCTAGTAGATAAAACCCCGACTTTATTTACATTTACAACATTTTGTTTTAGATATTGACAACGATCCCAACAGAGCTCCCCCATGTGACCCCTCGCAGTGTGTGCTACCAGACTGCTTCTGTTCGGAAGATGGAACAGTAATTCCTGGAGATCTACCTGCTAAAGATGTACCACAAATGATCACCATCACTTTCGACGATGCTATCAACAATAATAATATTGAGCTTTATAAAGAAATCTTTAACGGAAAACGTAAAAACCCCAATGGTTGTGATATCAAGGCAACATTCTTTGTTTCACACAAATACACGAACTATTCTGCTGTACAAGAAACGCATAGAAAGGGACACGAAATTGCTGTACACTCAATCACGTAAGTTATTTAGTAATTCAATAGGGATACTACAATACTTTTAAAGAATAAATAATTTGGTACTCAGTAATATTATTAAGGTTTCGGTTGCCGTATAGCGCATGTGTTGTATGTTTAAAATAGGCTATTAAGCATTTACAATTGCATAGTTAAATACTTAACATTTTTATGTTTTTCAATTCTTAGGCACAATGACGATGAACGCTTCTGGAGTAATGCTACCGTTGATGACTGGGGCAAGGAAATGGCTGGTATGCGAGTCATTATTGAGAAGTTTGCCAATATTACTGACAACAGTGTGGTAGGTGTCCGTGCACCATATCTGCGAGTTGGTGGCAACAACCAGTTTACCATGATGGAAGAACAGGCATTCTTATATGACAGTACTATTACCGCGCCATTGTCTAACCCTCCTCTATGGCCTTACACTATGTATTTCCGCATGCCACATCGTTGCCACGGAAATTTACAAAGCTGTCCCACTAGGAGTCACGCGGTATGGGAGATGGTAATGAATGAGCTCGATCGCCGTGAAGACCCCAACAACGACGAATATCTGCCTGGATGTGCTATGGTCGATTCGTGCTCTAACATTCTTTCTGGCGACCAATTCTACAACTTCCTCAATCACAATTTCGACAGACACTACGATCAAAATAGAGCTCCTTTAGGTCTGTACTTCCACGCGGCGTGGTTGAAAAACAATCCTGAATACTTGGAAGCATTTTTGTATTGGATTGACGAAATTCTTCAAAGTCACAACGACGTATACTTTGTTACCATGACTCAGGTTATTCAATGGATCCAGAACCCTCGTACAATAACTGAAGCCAAGAACTTCGAGCCCTGGAGGGAAAAGTGCTCAGTAGAAGGCATTCCTGCATGTTGGGTGCCGATTTCCTGTAAATTGACATCTAAGGAGGTTCCCGGAGAAACCATCAATCTCCAGACGTGTGTAAGGTGTCCCGCCAACTACCCATGGCTCAATGACCCCATAGGCGATGGACGCTTTTAAGCGCCAGGATCTCGGCGCCGTCATGCGCTCCAATTATTTTTAAAATAATTGCAACGGAGGGGTTACACGAACTATATGTTTCAAGAAGAAGAAAATTGAAACTATGTTATTGATACCTAGTATTTTACCATAAAACGAATACCTGCAATTTAAAAATGTACTCTCAGTACAATTGTAACCCATCTGTAGTCTAAGTACCTACCTAAATAAATGTAATATAGACTTACATGAATATTTAATAAGTCTGTTTAATAAATACTTTATGTGATTTTTTACTGTTAGTCTGTTGGATATATGTAATTAAAAATACAAAATATAAAAAGTTTGTATCGTCTTTAATTTTGTCACCTTCTCTATACTATATAATATAAACTCTAACACGACGTCTCTCTGAACACGCATCACGCAAAAACCTGAACCGATTTGGACTTTCACTAGCAGATAGCTGATGTTATAAGGAGGCAACTTTTATTTTAGGAGAATAATTAGGGTTCCGCGCAAAAAAATTAAAACTCATGAATCCAAATGTCACGCGGGTGAAGTCGCGGGGAATAGCTTGTATGTATAAAAATATGGTAAGTTATTTATAGGTGTGTGTAACTAACCGTGAAGTAAAAATGTTCCATTTTACATAAAATAAAAAGGAAATCGAAAATAAACAATAATACTTAAAATTAGGACAAAAATTTACTAACTTTACATTTCCAGTAAGCTGAAGTGGCACTGGGCAGCCTCATACCTGTAGGCGAAGTGTAGGGCATCTCCCTCCCCCTCCCCTAGATGGAGTGACGACCTGGTAAGACATGCAGGAAGTCGATGGATACAGGTGGCTCAGGACCGTGCTTTGAGGCATTCCTTGGGGGAGGCCTATGTTCAGCAGCGGACTTGTGAAGGGCTGTTATGATGATGCGGATGATGACATTTTCAGAGCAGTTTGTACGATCAGTTTGATAAATTATCGCACAAAGTGCAATAGTTAACCAAAGTAACATTTAGACAATTAATTATAAAATATTTTTGGATAGAACCATTTATTTATTCTAATATATAAAGGTTAAGATATTTATTCTTAGGAAGAATAGGAAGTTAAAAAATAATTTCATTATTGACGAATGCTTGTCTATGTTATATAAAAATACTTGAATTAAATAAAAAAAATCATTTTATCATAGCAGTCTTACGCTCTGTTCAAGACTAATTATACAAAATACTAATAGAATAATATTACCAAAGAACTGTAAGTCCGTGAATATTAAAGGTTAGTTAAATTTAGTTACAGCCGATATACATCCCACTGCTGGGCACAGGCCTCCTCTCATTTCTGAAAGGGTTTTAGAGTGAGAAAATGTCCGCCGCGCTGCTCCAATGCATGTTGGCTAACTTCACATGTCTTGGAATTTTTTTACTTATTTCTCAGATATGCAGGTTTTCTCACGATGTTTTCCTTTACCGCCGAGCACGTGGTAAATCAACACTTAAAATTGCAATTAACAATTTCATTGGTGCCGGCGTAGATGGAACCCGGGTTGCTCACGTACTGTGAAATTTATAGCGAGCGCTAACTACCTGAGCAACCACGGCTCTTTGTATGTAAATCCGTGAATATTACACACTAACAATACGTTGATTACATGTCATATTTTAGGTAACATATACCCCTCAGAAACATCATTCAATATTTCCTCTATTTTTAATGTATTTTTAAAAGCCTGTGTCAATTTACTCCGTCAGGCCAAAAAAAGAAATAATTCAAGTCATAAATTTCAAGTGACGCAAAAGCCACGTCGACACTGTGCTTATTTTATTGTAAGGACATGGACTTTCGTACACATAGGAATCTAAAATCATTTGCAAGCAACAACTTGGTTTAAGGTACATACGTGTACGTCAAGCAGTAAAAGAAAGAAAGAATAATGATCTGCGAGTGAGTTCGTACGCAGCGCTCAGTATTTTTACGCCATACAATCTAAATACAGTATACATCATTGATTAGGATCTTATCTTATGTTAATATCTGACAAAGCTTACCAACATGTCTCATCGATTTATTTTATTTGGTCAATAGCCTCAAAAGATTGATTGTATAAACCCATCATCTCCGTCGATTTTTTGTGTGTATTCATGAGTAAGCGATTAATCTTATTTGTTTCATTACATACGAGTATTTTTTTGTAAAGCCATAAATTATTTGTTTTTAATAATTTTTAAAGTAACATATTAAATTATAAGAAATATATGTGCACAGAACAACTTGTTGTTGTGTTTTTGAGGGCATAATAGATTTGGGGGGCGGCAATTATCAGTTTTACTGATTTCTACACAAAGGAATAACCTCAGTTGTCTAGTGTACAATGGGATTTTATACAAGTATCATATTAACTACAGAAAAAATGAAATAAATTTATGGGGAAGGAAAACATCGTGAGGAAACCTGCATGTTTAAGAAATAAGATAAATATATTTCGAAAACATGCGAAGTACTCCAACAAGCATTGGGATAGCACGGCGGACATTTCCTTGCCCTAAAACCATCTCAGAAATGATAGGAGACCTGTGCCCAGCAGTGAGACTTACTCGTATATAGGCTGCAACTTAAACTTACTACTCTAAGCATAACACGTAATGGCACAAATAGGTATATAGCGCCCATTTTCGTTCATACACAGGGTTATTTTTCAGAGTAGCCAAATTTTAAACTTAAGTTCATATATATAAATAATGATACGAGTATACCGTTATTGCAATTTTAGAAACTACGAGTTAATAAAGTTTGTACTTTTATTTGAAATTGTCCCAAATTGAATGTGATTTATGGGCAACAAAGTTTTTGTCTACCGATCGACGCTTACGAATGTGTGCGTGATCATTAAAATCATTTAAAATAATGCATTGCCACGCATTTTGAATTTAAAAGATAAAAAAGACAGAATGTTTGAGATATTTTTATTTAATTTTTCTTCACCATTTGCCTATATTACTTATTCTGAACCTTCTCTACAAATTTGGCCGGTTATTGCAAAATAACCCTGTATAGATAGGCAAAACTAACATTTATCAGTTTATCGAAGCTATTATATTATGTAATGTTTTGGTAAAAGTTAAAATAGAAGAAATTATTTAAATAAAAAAATAGATAACTTTTATATTCATTTACTTCTTTGTGATCATACTCAGTTCTAGACGCACAGCAGTGTGTCAGCCAAGTTTGGAGAAGAAAAGAGCGACGCACCCGCAGTGTACACGAACTATTTTGAGCTACTTTTGAACTTCCATAACTCAAAAGCTATTCGACCTACCATTTACCATTTTTCTTCCAATAAGGACCCAATGAATACGTAGAATCACAAAATTTTATTTGCTATTTTTAATACACAATTACTGACAGGACTTATTAAAAACCTAGGCTTATTCTACGTTACGTATGAACAGGCGCAATGTGAAAAGTAGAAATTATCGATATTTGGTGTAGACATTCAATTCTTATAGATTAAATTAAAAAAAAGAACAGTGAAGTATAACGCCAAAAAATTATTGACAATCATGAATTTATGTAGATTAGTAAAGGAATACGTCTTTTTTTTTTAAATTAATGTATTCCTACCAAAACTAGGTGTGAAAAGGGAGTCAATTTTGGTACAAAAGATGTTCGAGGTTGTCGGGTTCGCGATAAAATAGTTAAAATCTATACGAACGCCAAGCTTCATAACAGTTCCAAGATAGTTGTTCATTCTATAGATCCTATGATTTCTGCAACTGGTGGGATCTTTTTACACGCTTTATAGAAGTTTGACCTGTATATACATATGTAGTATGAACGAATGTCATGAAATTTTATAATTTCAATTTCATCTACACAAAGACGTGAGAATTTTCTGAAATTAAACAGACCAAAGAGATTATTAAGAACCGATGAAAATACAATAATTTCATGACTTTGCCCTAGTGTTCTCACTATGGACATCACTGCTAATGTTTTATCATGTTTATTTTGCTGAACAGGTCTTATAGTGTACTTATACTTCAACAGGTTTATTTCTTACCATATTAGTAATTTTACTAAATAGAAAGGTATTTAAAATTATTAAAATTTATCAAATGTATTTCATTGCAATTTGTATTAATAAAAAGACAAGTCCCGATTCACTCACTCACTTTAACCAGATACTGAGTCATCAACGCTCAGCCCAAAAATATTTTCACAGAGGTTCCCTTTCTAGTATAGACAAGGAATAAGAAAGAATATTCTGAAATTCTTGCGGGATAGAATAACAAACGCTACTTTAAAGTTTATTTAGTGAAAATATTTACGTGTTTTCATAAAGTATCATCCTCCAGCAATCAATCAAAAATGAAAATGAGGGCATTCATTGACCCAGTCCATACGCAGTAATATAACAAGTTTATGGGCACACGGGTCAACTGTGCCCAGTAATAGCGCACACAGTACTGTACATCTATCCTAAAAATTTTCCTTAGGGAGTAACTATGAACAAAATTGCTGTAATTTTCGATTCGAAACGAACTAAGCCGCGGTCGGTCGTTAGAAAAGTAAAAATGCGACCTTTGTTGTTAAATGGTCTGAAAACTGTTTTGAGTTTAGCTGGGATATCGACATACAGGATATACTCAGTTCTAAGGTTAAAAGGATCCTAATAAGTAATGAATAAATCATGATTTTTATTATGTAAATGGTGACGGATCTTAATTATAAAAATTGAACAATCGTTGTGGGATGACACCAACATATTACAGTAAGCATTGTAGGTGTATCGTTGCATATCATCACTTCCAATTACGCATGTGCATATCTAACGCGCCTAACTTTCCATTTGATTTTGCAATCCTTATTGCTAATGGAAGCAATAATAAGAATATTGATAATCACCTGTATTGTTAGCAGCTTCAAAATAAATAGAGAGTTAGAGGTTTCGTATGTGTACATTGAACATAATATTAGGTATGTATATGCAAACGTAGAGATGCGCAATAAAATAGCCTAT